TTGAAAAAATTTATAAAAATTGCAAGTAAGATCCACTAAAAGTTATGGGAGTATAGCATAGGTAAAGTTTGATTTCATTGGTCAATAACGAGGATTATGATTGGCTGAAATCAATTTTAAGAAATTGGTCGATCTTGAAGTTTCACAAAAAAAACTTCAAAAGAATGATCATCTTTTTGAATTCTAACCTTGTTTACGTGAATACTAAAGACATTTAGTTCAAGGAAAAGTCAAACTTTTATTAAGTTTCTTGACCTTTAATACTACAACCAATTTAACTTCCTTTGTGTAACACATATATATTACTCAAGTTCTTATTGGATCTTATGAAAAAGACATCTTCAGTATGTCTACAAAATTTTATTAGTATTTTGGCAAATTGTCCATAAGACTGATCGCTTTTTAAGTATAAAAAAAATCTTAAAAAGTATAATAAAGTTACACAGCTTGCTTATCATAACACCAAAATTGAGATCGCGTCGCGTTATTCATTTTTTATTGTCATGTGGTTGAGATTTAATTTGATTGGCCAGAACTGTTGTGTTTTAGTCATGTGACCAACTTTTTGGTCCAATATAGGATTGTTTTTTTTCAAACTGAAAAAATCCCACGTTCAACATTTAAACATATTTTTAAAATTTATTTTTTCATTTCCAACTTGATATATTTCACTTATTTCACTAACTCAAATATTTCAAAGCACCAAAATCCTAAAATAAAGCGAAGCTAAAAGTAAAGTGAAAGAAAGTGAAAATGTCCAACTCTAGCAGAAAGGTTGAAGTGTCGGAAATGTTAAAACTGTGGTTGGAACCTCGTATTAAACCTAACTTTAAGAATGATTCAAACGGCGAAAAACCCTGGCTTGATATTATAGAAGACATGTTAAAGGATATCTGTATTAGGGTTTTGTCTCCACTACCTCTGGACGTCTTTGCACACATTATGGATCGGTTAGTTCGGATTTATGATGAAGACCGGGTATTTATATTGGAAAGATTACTCACGATTACACCACATCCTGATGAGGTTACTGGGGAAGTGACTATAAGACGTATGAGATCATATTTAATATCAACACTCTCGCCATCAGATACAGTAAAGGATCCTTTAAGAATTGAAATTTCTGAAGATTTTGTTGAGATGGCAAAAATGGTTTTGGAACGATCTCATCAGGAACTTGCTGATACCGACAAAGCAATTACAGAATTTTATATGAATCATATACATAGGCATGGGCGTTAATTAACCTGGTTAATTAACCGAAGGAGATGACGGTATCAAATCAAAAAAAAAAAGTTTAATGTTGTATGTCCTATTTGTTTGAAATCTATAGCATAATCAATAGTATATTTTTATAGATTTGCAAAGCACATTGTGATCTAATTGGTGCTGCTATCCTTGATTATGTTCAATGTTTGAAAATTTAAATTTATAATAAAATATCACATGATTTATATACCTCTTCAATACCAACTTGATGATTATTCGGGATTTTTCCCACATTGAAATCAGATACCTTCAAAATAAACCAGACGAATAATGTTAAGCTATTGTTAACTTTAACTTTTTCAAAAAAGTTTATTCACATCGTCACTTTCATTACTATTATCACCTTGATTAGTTTATTCTTGTAAAGTCCATTTCCCATTTCATAAAATTCCCCAATTTATATAATATTCTTTATTGACATCGCCTGCAGCTTTATGGAACCAATAATATAATTCTAATCCTTTTTCTTTACCGATTTCAGTTCCAATTCCAATATCCAAGCATTAACTTTGCGTTTATTTACAAGTTGACAGAGGTTGATTCCTAATTGACTTTGTGATGTAATTTAAGAACAATGATATTTAATTAATATCAGGAGTTAATTACTGTAATACAGAATAGAATTTTAATGAAATAATATACAGTATTATACCTTAAATAATTTATGCCTTATACAATCCATATTCCAAGCCACGGTCGAACCTTTTCTGCAGGCTTTGACACCACATTTATAGTAGCATTATTAGGTGAGTAATTACACGATTGCTTGAAATAGATTCGGGCTTCTATAAGTTTAATAATATTAATAAAAGAATATATTTTTATACACAGTTTGATGCTTACCTTTGCTTCATTTCCTGAGGCTACTGTACTACTGCGTATCCCATACTATTTGTGGCAAACTTGTTGCGCATTTCACGTATCCTGTTACGTTTTTTCATTGCTTCTTCCTCTTTCTTTCTGAATTTCTCTAAGAGTTTTTTTTTAGGAGCAGGATTGTTAAATTGCCATGCTAGTGTACTAACAACAGGAGAAATAGAAAGGAGAAGACGAACTAAATTTAGACCAATGATTCCTCGAGGGTGTTGATTCTTTCTTTGAAATCATACAGTGGAATGAGTAGTAACCGTAGACGCATCGTTCAGTGGGTTTACGAGTTGATGGGACTATTATTTCCTCATGATAATCCATTATTCTTAGGTTGAGGTGTTTTGACAATAATTTTATTGGAAGTTTGTTGAGTAATGAAAGCCAATTTTACGTTTCCTTGCTTTTGTTTTCTTCAGCCTAAAAACGATACAATTCTTCCCATTTGAAATAAATTAGTTGGTAATGTTCTTTGAAGGTGTTTCAACTTTTGTTCGATCATTACCTTTTCATCTACTTTTGTTGAAAGTATCTCATCTCCGAGGAGAGGAATCATTATTTCCCTAACCTACTTCACCATTATATCTCTGAATAGGATCGAACTGATTTAATATAATACTTTTTGTTCAAGCCCAAGCGATACACCGTAAAGTCTGAATTTCTTCTAAAGAAAGTTATTGGTCTAATCAGGTTAACAATTAAAGATGAAGCCGAATTCAAATTAAACCATGATGCATCGTGCTGTGAGAAAAATGTAATGTGTTTAACACTGAACGTATAATATAACGCTTAGTATAGTTTGAAATGATTCTCACATAATTTATAATATAAAATCAACTCACCTTTATAAAAAAATTTTATACTTCAATTAATAACAAGTCATAATAGTACTACAATTTCCAAAGGCTTGAATATAATTAACTAAATTACCAAAATTTTTTTTTTTATACATTTGATTTTAATTTCATTTTCTGAAATCAGAACGTTTACTATTTTGAGATCTAAAAGAAATTTACATGATCCAAATCCTTAATGGATAAGCAAAATCTTCTATGCCCCTTTCGCTTATAAATTCTTTCAGGGATATTAAAAGTAATGAAGATAATAGCGTTTGTAACTAATAGTTAATTTTTTGTCATAATTTATGGTCAATAGGCGGATCTTGACTATTTTCATCCATGATCTCGACTAGAATACCGAAATATCATCTGACTGTGTAATATGTGAAGAAGATCTCATTAAAGCATTAGCATTAATAAACGGAGCATCTGTAATAGGAGCAGAGCCTAATAAAGTGTCTGGATAAGCATATTGACTTTGTTGTAATTGTCTGTTAGAGTATCATATATTTTTGGTGCTCAATCTGGAAAGATAGTACTCGAGATAACTTTGAGGTGGTAAAATATTAAAGGAAGCTAAATAAAGGTGGTGAATTAGAAACTTGCACACAAAGAAACAAATTTTTATTGATAGATGTAAACTGTCTGTTCATTTTATGTATTATTTTTGAGTTCATTAGAAACGTTATTTACCCAAAACGTTACCAATTGATATCTCTCAAATAGTGTATTTTATACATTGAAGTCATTTCACCAAAAGTATTAAACCGTATTGATTATTATCCAAATCAACTGTACTGTATTGGACGAATTAGAAGTAATCCAAGATTTTTGGAATAGAACTTAACCAACGTGATGAATTATTAGGCATTTGAACCAGATATTAGTGTAGAAAAAAGCCTTTTATCATCATATCCAAACACCTAAAGGTTCAAACATAGTATCATCAACCTTTTTAACTAAAAGATTATGAACAAGAGAATCCACCTTTATAATATTTATTCATTTTTTGATAACTAAATGATTATAAATGATTTTATTAAAAATAAACATTACTGTGAAAATATTAAACAATAACTAAAAATAATTTAAATTTTAAACATACCTTAAATATTACCACTTGGATCATGATTCAAACATTTATATTGCTTATATGTTGGTTTAGCATCTATTTCTGTATCAATAAAAAATGACTTGTAACCCTAGAATTAAAATTGCTTTTATCCAGCAGCAGTAAATATTGAATAAGATTTAAATTAATAATTACATGATAAACATCTAAATTTACAATACTATAAGCTTATGAATCTAACCTAATTAATAATTTAACAAATAATAATTAAAAGAGTTTTATAAATAAAAAATCTTTATATAATGCTGATACAAAATTTTTATAAATTGATCACCTTTGAAAGATCAGAATCATCATTATGTAAAAGCTATTTTAATAATGATTTAAGGACTATGATAAAAGTATTCTAAATAATATATAATATTATATTTACTACATGAGCATGTTTATAAAGTTTTGCCAATTTATATATCTAGTATTAGATTTTGATATAGTAAATCTTAGCAAAGATTTTATAAAGCAGTAATAGAATATTAATTGTATTATCATTTTTGATTATAAATCTATTAATAAAAATAAAAATATTTGAATTTAGATTTTTCAAAAAGTTATAATTTCTGCATTATTAAATTTTTGTTTATAGCATCTTACTGATTATAAGTAGTATAAGAACCAACAATCATAGCTATAGATTTAAAAGGTTAGCAATAAATATTGATCTCAGATCAAAAGAAGATATTA